TAGCCTATGTTCAATCATCAATTTATTAATAACGATCAACAAAACAGTTCACCATCGAGTAGTAAAGTCAGAGTTTCGGATAAAAATAATAAAAGTTTCACAAGTATGTCTAATGACCATCTAAGAAGTGAAATTGCTAGACGTGCTATGGCAGTAAGTTTTGTTATTTAAAAAGAAATTTTTTTTTTTTATAAACTTTTTTATAAACTTTTTTATAACTTATTAATTATTTAATTTGTATAAAGGTTGTTGAAGCATATGAAGAACTCGGAAATGCCTGTAGAAAGGCTGAATATGCAGTTAGTCAACTTAAAGTGTTATTACCTCCAGATACAAACGTTGTTCTTCCTTCTGACGCTTCTATACCGACATTACCGCCATCTTTACCAAATAATAAACCTCCTCAAAATTTGAATATACCTATATCATACGATAGAAATGATAGAAATGATAGAAATGATAGAAATGTAAATTCAAATACTGCTACTAGTTCATCTAATACAACAACGTCAGGAATTAATGATGATACTATGGTAGCTTCACTTTTGATGTCTCTTACAAATGCTTCTTGGGAACGTAATACTAATTCTGTTGAGATTGATAAAACCAATAATGATTCATCCATTATTACCAATTCTCCTACTTCTTCTAATCCTGGTGCTGTTATGGGTTCTTTTGATGGTTATAGTCTTGATGACGATGATGAAATATATGATCAAAAACATGATTCCTCATCAGAGCAAGATCTTGGCGAGTCTATGATAGATAACGATGAAAATGAAAATGATCCTGCTGAATCAACAAATGCAATAAATGATGATGATGATGATGATGATGATGATGATGATGATGTTAATGTTGTTGATGATGATGATGATGATAATAATAATGATGATGATGATGAAATGAGTGACATAAATATGATTGATAATACATCTTATGATAATAAATCATCACCTATAAATGATTCTAATTCTGAAAGTACTCGAAAACGAAGTTCAAGTAATCGTAATCGAACTCGAAGAAAACCTTCGGCTAGCAGAGTTTCATCATCTTCTTCTCCTTATTCAACGCAATTCACTCCAGAAGAAATTTTATTCCTGGATGAATTTAATAAATTGTACGAAAAAAGAGTTCAATTAGGTCCAACTAGACAAAGTGATATTGCTTCCGAAATCAGGCAATTCGCTAATAACGCTATTGCGTTTGGACAACCTGCTGTCTCAGGGTTGGTTAGAAAGACTAAAGTACCTAAAGAACAAAGAGCTGTGAATGCTTTGAAAGCTTGGATTGAAAGTGGGAAGAAAAGATTAGGTGTTGTATAAATTTTGTTTAGTTAAATTTTTGGAGGTTAGTTATTTCTTTATCAAGTTTTTAATTAACTAATATTTCTTAATTTTCATTACTAACTTTATTATCGTTTAAATTTAATAGAAATGATCATTTGAATGATCATTTATTCCCTTTTTCTTCTTTTTTTT